TTCATCGGTGTTTCTCGCGGAGTGTTCATTACTTAGCTTAGTGCCTCGTAAAGCAAACGACGAGGGCGACCAGGAGGAGGAAGCGGGAAGGAGGAGGCACCTGCCACCGTCTAGGCAGCCGGCGCGCGTTACGCTTCGTGTGCACTATTTAAGATTACAGCTTTCTTCCCGCGAGAAGAGGGAAACTCCGACTGGCAGGCAGGCAGGGCGGGGCTCGAATTCAATCCGAAATGTCGGAAAATTAGATCCCCCGACTTGACTTCCAGCGGCGTCTCTCGTGCCATATCACTTTGCCGGATGCTGTCTGCTGAAGACGGACGAGGCGTTACTTTAAGACCGCCAAAGACAAGCGCGGTCGCGTCTTTCGCGTGCCTGCTCGTCCTCTCATGAAACAACAACAGCGGAGGACGTTTGACCAGTGAGATAGGGGACGAGAAGCGGAGTGCAGGGCGCGTTATCTAAAGTGCCTCGTTAAGTGCGCATTTCGCGCACCTTGAGAAAAATCTCCACGACGCGCTCTCGTAACGCGAAATTTTCGTGCGTTTAATTGCCGCCCGACCACGACGGGACGACGTGTCGCGCATTCAGAAAGGTAGTGCGGAATTTGGCAAGTCGTCGTCGTGCGACCGCGAGAAACGCGCTGAGCGACAGCGCCGTCGTTCGATCGCGGCACGGACTCGTGACTCTTCGACGTTTCTTCACGTCACGAAAAAGTCATCTTGCCGCGTGACTCGTCGCGCCTTCGTTTTCTTATCGACGATTATTACACTAGTCGCGTGTAATACTCATTAAGCGCGATTTGATATTCCAATTCTTTTCTGATAAAACTATAACGCGGCTGTACTGTAACGTGGGAAAACAGGGGGAGAGAGAGGGTGATCGGAGGCGCGAGGAGGATTTAAGTGCTACTAGGTTCATAAACGGGCACCGACGTTCCCGAACTGGCGAAGACGGCTCGTTAAGTTCCCGGGCTCGTTAAGTATGCCGTGGTTCTGCCAGCCGCGCGCGGAGGGCGAAATGCCTTCGATACTTGTACAGATTGTTATGTCGGCGGCAGCTAATACTCACAGCAACTCGACGCGGCCCGGTAATACTCTCGCGGTTTGCTATCGCGTCGCTTACGACGATTACAGGCGGCGGAAAGTATCGAGATGTGTAAACGAGGTTGCGCAACGACTGCACTGAGAAAAAAGATTTTGTTGGCTTGACAAAATGTCCGTAACCACGACAAATGGTTAGGTTTTTTAATGCGAGACTGCAAATGATTGACTCCGTTGTGGTAACAAATTGTTTATTGCTCTAACCAACAATTTTATAATGGGAACAAATGGTATTGTTAGTCAATCCAATAAATCACAAATGTTTGATTTGTCGACAATACAGAATATGAGTGAAAGTTAGAAATTATGTATAAGCAAATCAGTTGCATTAACTCTTCTTCACCAATGTATAATAATATAGTATAGCAAAATACGTGAAATACTCGATGAAACCGCACACGCAATGCTACACCGTAGGTATCATAATTATCATATAATTCAAATGTAGCTCCATTATATCCAATCAAACATTGGCGGAGAAAGATTAATAAAATAATAATCCTATGTGTGCGTGTGTTTTGCAGGAATTCGGGAGAAGAAATAGAGCAACGCATTATTACATTAATCTTTATTCTCAGCACGATATATTGTATAAAATTAATAAACTATTAGATAAGGTTAAGTAAAGTTAAGGGATATATATACAAAGATTCGTACTGTAAACGTACTTTTATCAATAAAAAAGTCTGTAAAAGTGGTTCGTAGCTACTTAGAAAAGCTTATAAATCACTTTAAGAGATGCTTTTATCTACGTATGAAAGTTGAGAATATGGAGCATAGAAGAGTCACGTATATATATATACAATATTATATTATTACAACGTTGCTATTCTTTTTATTAGAAGTTGCACATCCAACAAACATATATGATTTGTATCTCCAGTAATGTATATTTGTTAAAATTACAAATAACAGAGAACAATTTGTTGCGGTAACTGTTTGATTTGTTTCCCGTATAATTGGTTTCCCGTATAATCAAACAGCAAACGTTCTGTTGTTGTGACAATAGAAATCTTTTCCTCAGTGTACATTTCGCCTACTCGCGAATGCGGTGAGAGCTTTGGATTTCTCTCTCTCTCTCTCTCTCTCTCTCTCTCTCTCTCTCTCTCTCTCTCTCTCTCTCTCTCTCTCTCTCTCTCTCTCTCTCTCTGTCTCTGTCTCTGTCTCTGTCTCTGTCTCTGTCTCTCTCTCTCTCTCTGTCTCTGTCTCTGTCTCTGTCTCTGTCTCTGTCTCTGTCTCTGTCTCTGTCTCTGTCTCTGTCTCTGTCTCTGTCTCTGTCTTTCTCTTTCTCTGTCTGTCGTAGCCACGATTGTTCGTGTTATCGGAGGTTTCATTACGAACGTAATGAATACGATAATGAACGCGACGTTTATTATTAATACACAGAAGCCAATGATATTAAATAAAGGTCCCATCTCCATGGTTAGAGATCGCATTATGTTTGCGGTGAATGGCGCGGTTTTGCAATTTCCAGCTGATCTGCTTCTCCCCGTTAATGACTTCTGAATTCTATCCCGGATTTCTCAACTCAAGAGCCGAGTTTTTTCTTCGTTTTTTTTTCCAGAAGAATATTCTTTCGGAACGTTGTTGCGCGCCGAAAGTGAGAGCGAAAAGTTCCGCCGAGAGGGAGTCTTGTCGATATCGCGCGAGAATGTTTGACGCGACGACGAATGCAAATTTCGAGAGGTCTTACTCGTTTCCCGCGTTGTAATGTGAGAGCGGGCCGACGCGTATTACGCTAGTGGATTATGTTAATGATAGTTGGCGAACTGAGGCCGAGATGATTAATTGCGTGAGCCAAGTGGGGCGCGGTCCGATTGTAACTGGGCAACTATTGATTAACTCGAGCGCATCTTGGCGCTTTATCGATGCGGGCATCATCGGTAGCGAGCGAGCGGGCCGCTCGATTAATTGTTTTGCTCGCCGCGATCGATTTCGCGATATTCTTTGTCAACCCAGAGAGAGGATCTATTTCGGCCGGAAAGACATTTAAAATTCGATGTCGAAAATCCATGAAATTGTGTCACGTCCGTCAATCCTCGCAAAGGGAACGTTGATTACGCAGCACTATCCGTAAAGTTCACGCCAAAATTATCGAACATCTAGTATGTGCTGCATATTTTTAAATCCTTTGCGAAAAAAAACTTTTCTTATTCGACCTTGTTTGCGGGACACTTATGACGTGTGGAGCAATTTCTCTTGATGGGATTATTTCATGAAAAGAGAGGGGAGAGAGAGAGAGAGAGAGAGAGAGAGAGAGAGAGAGAGAGAGAGAGAAGCGCGTTAAAGATATGATTCATATTCAGTGGCTCCTTTATAAGCTAAGCCTCTATCGGAAAACCGTCATCCTTCACGAAGTTAAGTCCGCGTTGAAGGTCGAAAGATCGCATCTCTCTTTAAAGCCGATTGTCGCGGAACGGTGGAATATTTATTTATACGCGGAAACATTATTGTCGTTTTTTACGACATTTTTCCCCGGCATTATACGTTTGCACTGATATTGCGGCGAGATCGCATCGCGGATGGACTATTTTACATCGAGCCGATATTCGAAATAAGTGTCGCCTGCTAAAATTGCGATAAATCTAATGCGCACATTAATTATAATAGCTTCAGTTTAATCCACGCGTAATTTGGATTATGCCGAAGTATATTAAGCGATATCTTCACGTTGCAAATTAATATACGCGTACAATTGTCAAATGAAGTACGCGATAAAATATACGTGATAATACGAGAGTAGTGAATTTGCCAGGTCCAAATCGCGCGATGGTCTTTCGACCACCGATAATGCATCTCTATGCTTTACCGACCTAAATACAATCGATAGGGCCGCCCTAATTAGTTATTTCACCGAGTTTGTCGGTTTACCGCGGTTAGTTTCAAACGAGCTCTATACGTATCCGGGCTCGTTGCATCCAGGCGAAATATCGAAATCACTGTCAAAGGGAGGTACGGGTGACAGCGGTGCGGAAGGAAAAAGTAGAAGAACACCCCCGAATTCACTGCCCGATTAAGCTCTCATTACTAGTCACTTTAACGTTCGTTCCGAGAATTGTGGAAAAACGGCTTGCAAGTTGCGTGCGTCTGCGTCGTGAATCTCGGTGAATTAACCACGGCAAATTTTTCCGATCGAGAGCAGGCGCGTGCCGCGAGGTTGCCTTCGGCACGAAAGGATTCCAAGGGAAGCGTCGGGACCGGTTTCGTTACATAAGCGAAGGTGGAGCGCGTGCGTGGCTTCGGCGAAAATGTTCGAAGCGTCAAGCAGACGTCCGTCCCCGCGCCTACGCGAATTCCGCGCGTTCCTTCCGTGGCTTCGCGCGTTTCTAAAACGGGGCAAACTGCTATTAGAAGCGCTCTCTCGGCAACTTCCTAACGATACTTCCGCCGCCGCCGCCGCCGCCGCCGCCGCCGCCGCCGCCGCGATGTCGTCACTCTCGCAAAGCCCGCGATCGCTCGCGAAACTTGCGCCTCGTTAAATTCACCCGCTAGCCGGTATTTAACGGAAGAGCGCGAGCGTGCGTCGCTCCCGAAACGGACGTCGCTGCCGAGTCGAATGAGCGGCGGAAACTTCGTAATTGAGAGGAAAACAGCATGTTCGGGAAAAAAGCTCGCTAACGCGCTGCGTTAGAAAAGAAAAAAAAAGTCTACCGAGACGAGAGAGCGGCACGCAAGCGGCAGCCGCCGGTGAGACGCGAATAAATCAATAAATCGCGATATTCGTCGAATTATAGCGAAGTGTACTTCGCGGTCGTACTCTTCTCTGGCTTGTGAGGAGAAAATAGATCCCAGACTGATCTGGAGTAACGCGGCGGTAGGCACGCGGTAGGCAAACTTGTCGCCGCGTCGTATATCGACTCGTATCACTGCAGCGATGGGCAGCTCCGGTGAGGTACATACCTGACTCTTCATGGGATCCGTGTTGATCTGACACATGTAGAGGCCACCGTCCTCCCTCTGGACACCCTTGATGTGAAGGTTCCACATGGTGTGGTCGCTGTGGGACACGGTCACCCTCTGATTGTGCGTGATCACGTGGTCGTGTATCGCCTGGATCGCCTTCGTGTCCGCCTTCACCCAGCCGACCTGGAACATCAATCGCCAGATCGAGACCTTAATGGGGGCAAGGGGCGGCTCTGGCTGAGGGCTGACGGCGGGGGCGAGGGGAGATGGGCTGACGGCGGAAATCGCGGTGACGGCACCGCGGATTTCGCCGAAGACGCCGCAATTTCCTTACAGGCATCCGACTGCGGAATACAAACAGGTATGGGGGACGCCTATCCCGAGGTGTGCTTGCATGCGCTCGCGTGCGCGCGCACACATACACGTACACGCATACACGCAAGCACGCGGGCGCACTCACACGTGCGGATCGACACGCGCGATTCCCCTTGGCCAAACTTCCAGCGGTATTTGCATTTTCCTTAGAATATTCCGAATCCCAAAGTGAAGCTCTCTCCCTCCCCCTTCTTTCTCTCTCTCTTTCTCTCTCTCTCTCTCTCTCTCTCTCTCTCTCTCTCTCTATATATATATATATATATATATATATCTTCTCTCTCTCTTGCGACTCCACACGAGCGAACGAAGGAACGAATACACGCACACCGTGCACCGTGCAGTTACACCGCGTACGCGCCCATTCCCGGTCTAGTAATAGAAAACCGGATATCCTCCCCCTCTCCCTCCCGACTACGCCGCGACTCTGTCATTATCTTCGCGTGTGTACGCGCGATAGTGAGCGCCCTCACGCGCTCGCACACGCGTTACACGTTCCGTTCGCGAGAAGATCGTCAGCGATCTTCGTGTCTTTGGCGAACGACAGCGACGGCGAGAAGACAGAAAGAGTGGGAGAGGGGGGATCTCGATGATCCTCGCGCGTCCTCCGACGATAAAGGAACTTTTATGTTGTTCCCCGGAGTACACGAGTAATTATTCGCGATCCTTATTTCTTTCAATAACAGCGAAGACGCCGACGTGATCCTTGGGCGTTCCAATTACCAGAGGAGACACCGGTCTTCTCCCCCTTCCTTCCCCCCTCTCACCGATCTTTGTTTCTTTCGCGCGCAAGAGAGATGCCGATGAACTTGCGCGCCGCTTTTATTCATAACAACCTCGCCGGCCTTAATCATAGCCGTCAAAAATTACTCGGCGTACGTCTCGATTGCTCGGCGCGCGGAATTTACAAAAAAAGAAAAAAAACAAAAACAAAAAGAATAAAAACGTCAGCATAAAATGGGTCACGAACGTGCGCTCACGCTCGACGATGGCGGTACTCTTCGGATTTGACTTTCAGATTCCCTCAGGAAGTAGACTATAAATGGAGAGGCTATCTCTCGGCGACTGGCTCCTACCGTAAACCGACAGATTTCCAGCGCATTACACGGTTGCATTTCGTATAAATTTAATTATCGCGCTCCCCGCCTCCGCCCCTTCCCCTAGCCCCCTCTCCCGCCGCCGCGCGTCCGTTCGCCGGAATTGTTGTAATTCGAGCGTCGCGTGACGTCGCGTCGCGCCGCTGACATTTATTTACATGCGAGCGGCGTCAACTCGTTGCGCCGGGCGATCAAATTAACGGCAATAATAATTATGCGATCCGCGACGCGTGCGATGCAAAATGGCAGTGGCGGAGACAACACGGTCGGCTTACTTGGCGTGCGGCGATGATTCAAGCGCGCGCGCACGGACGTCGAATTTCGCGGAACACCGGCGATGTTTCGCCTCTGTTTCAGCCGCAACTCTCTCTCTCTCTCTCTCTCTCTCTCTCTTTCTCGGCCGCGGATTCGGATCGATGCAAAACGTAATCGGGTCTTCCGTTCTACGGTTTACATTTCGACGGACGCCCCGGTATGGATAGCGTGAGCCGGGGCGCGGCGTTTCTCTAACCCGAGTTTGATTCGAGCGCGTCTGACCGGCGCTGGACGAGCAAATATACTGGTTCAGAAGCAACTGGTTACGCCATAATGAGAGAGCGGCTCGCCGTCGGCCGTAATGCAATTTGCGGACGCGCGCGAAGAGGTACGATAATGCGCGAAAAAGATAATCCGAGCGTAGAGCGTGGCGCGCGTGCGATGGAGATAAAAGTGTTATTAAATTCCGCCGGCCGCGTAAAGGCGCGAATTCGCGGCCGGTAACGGCAAGCGCGCTGAAGTCAAGTTCCGCGGCGGAGCGCGATCGATAGCGCGCGATCCGTATAATACGAGATTAGCTTTGTAGAAAGATTTCGTTAACGCGTCGGCGAGATCTTCTTATGGGCGCGTGTATCGATAAAAGTTCTCGCTACCACGATCCGAAGGGAGAAGCGGAAGAGAGCAAAGGGCTAAAGTGCCCGGAAAAATTCCTCTCTCGTGTGCTCCCTCTCTTTCTCTCACCTGTGAGGGGGAATTTCGCTGGTGTCAAGATCAGCGACTGATTCCGTGAAAACTGTACGCTCGGATGATTATTTCAAGCGTCGAATGTATCTTTCATACGCTCGTCTCGTCGAGTGTACTTTTCTCATTACGGGCGCGCTTCCGTTCGGCAGAAAGTGTAATTTCCGAATGTGTGTGCGCGCGCGCGCGCGCGTGTGCGTGTGTGTACATGCGCCGGGACTTTTCTGTATAAAGACAGTATCGAAAAATAGTCACGTCCGCGATATGTGACGAGTGCAATGGCGCTATCGTCGTTATCTCTCATTCTGTTTGTACCGCGCATTCGTTGCGGATTCTTTTTCGCAGCGCGCTCGCCGCCCGGCCCGGCCGACATTAACATGGTGCACCGAATGAACGCCGCGACAAGGAAGGCGCGCACGTTACACACAGACACACACACATACACACACACACACCGCGAAAGACCAGCGCGACGCGCTGGAGATATGACTTTTTAAAGACGCGTCCTTTCAGAAGTTAAGTGAGAGCCCGAGAAGTTAAGCGAGCGTTACTGACATCACAGACGCGGCGTCGCTTTTCATGTAACTTACTCTGTAGCCTCCTAGATGTTTCACCAGACACGTGAAAGTGGCGTCCCTCCCGAGCGGCACGGTTAGATTGGTGATAGGGCCGGAAAATTCGGGCTGAAAAGCGCCTCCTGAAACGATAAAATACGTACGACGTTCGTGAAAAATACATACGCCATTTGCATAGCGCCGCGCCGGCAATTTTTCGACAGCGACGTCAATTCGCCGTCGCGCAGAATGCACTTTATGGAAAAGCGAATAAACGTCAAAAGGGGCTCCGGACGTATACGCGACTCGGGCGACGCGGGCGCGGAAGCGCGTCTCTCACGACTGCAAATTAAATGCGCAGACGTGACGTCGAATTAGCGGGAATCACACGCGCTGCCGTGTGTGCGCGCGCGACACTTGAGCGAACTTTCGTGCACGCGAGCGCTGTCAATTGCCGCTAGACAATTGCGTTTTTCGGCTCCGTCCGCTTCGATAGTCATTTGCGGGATTTACGGGAGCGACGGCTATTCCACGCGGCGATCGCTCGCTGCTGAATGCGCGAGCGTTTGTTGAAAACAAAAATCTCACTTTTGTCACTGCGAAGTCGCACACGACGACACAGCCGGACAAGATCACGCATCGCTTGATCAGGCGTCAATTAATCAGTTTACGTAGTTTAATCTTTTGCATTGCCATTATACTTTACTTTTTTTAAATCAGATAATGTGAAATTTCGTCGAAATGTATGCGCGCGCGCCATCTGAATATTACATATTTGAAAAGAGGATGATGACAATGAAAATAGGAAAACTTGGTTTTCACGAAAATTTAATTATGACGCTTGGTCAAGCGACACGTGTGCCCTGTATACAGATTTTTTTAATTATTTTCTCTGTGAAATATATTTTCTCTCTCTCTCTCTCTCTTTCTTCGTTATATGCTCGAAATGGAGTGATTATGAAGTGTCACGCAATTTCCGAACGTGAACACGTTGTCGACGTGCGAAACTAAAAACGTCCGAGACGATTGTAATAATTGCGACTGGTCAAAATAAATTAACTTTGTAAATACGCATATATATATATATATATATATATATATATATATATATACATATATATGTGTATGTATATAAATCCAATTCGCATAGAGAAGCGCACATAACACTGCATTATCTTTCTAACGCAAAATTATTGTGCAGTGCACACAATTGCCATAAATATCCCGCGTCCTGCACGATTACAAGTAACGCGCCGCCTCTTGTACGAATAGAATACATCTCCTTTTACTTTCTCATATTTTTCACGCGTTCCCGGATTGTTTCGCAGCTGCACTATGAATAATACCGCGGCGATGGCGATAGCGCCCGATACAACGCGGCGGCCGTCGGCGAGGTAAGGCGAGATGCGGAAAAATACGATGCGTAACGTATATAAAATCGCCTCGCCGGCGAAATCGAGATTGAGGGCCGCGGAATCCGCGCTTGCCGCTTTCGCGCTTCGTCAGATTTCCACGTTACGGAGGTCTCGCGTCGCGCATCCGCCTTGGGAGAGATAATTTATCGTCGAAACGCACCGGCGACGTTCAAGCGCGCCGTCAAATTTTGATTTTTGCGTCGCGTCGCGTCAGTGAAGCAGAGAGCGCGATACCGAGCGATTCGTCGAGCGAATCGAATTAATCCCGTAACCGGCGAGCGAGTATCGCGTCGGGATGGTTACCCAGTGGTTCACGGAATAATGACGTAGATGTTGATTGAATCGATCACACCTTGGAAAGAGGCGAGTTCCGTGCGGGGCGGGGGCGCGAAGCCGCCGCCCGCCGCGCTCGAACGCATTTCCCACCGCAAATAGAATTCTTTCGCGAGTGTTTCACCGTGTGGGCAAATAGGAGGAGCCGGTTTTGCGAAAATATTATTTTCATATACCGCGCTTCTTACACAATAAGCTGTGTGTTTCGGTCCTCGAAATTCGCCGAGGCTAGAAAAAAACGTCGTGCATATATATATATATATATATATATATATATATATGTATAAAGGAAGCGCGCGATACACGAGGTAAAGTTCAACGCGTGGCTTTCAATAGTATAAACCGAATGTGCGCGATAATATTTTCGTACGAATTTTCGCCGAGAGTATTCGCCACCGGCATACAACAGGGCAAACGGGACAATGATACTTCCGCAGAAATTTCTGTCCCAGCTGCTGCATAAGGTACTCGATTTAGAGGTTTTTATATTCCGCAATACGCGGGGTCGCTCGCGCAGCTTGGCGTCATAAAAATGCGACATAGCAATAACATTTTCCTGCTAATTGAATAAACTAGAAAAAATACCCGCTGTATATATTCGCCGCGCTGCGGATGCGACGATACGTTTATTTGTAAACTTAACAAATTTTTTTCACCTTTCCAAATAAGTCCGCCCTTTTGCTCTCTTATTTTCGAGAAAATAATATCCGGTAATCGTAATTTTTTCATTGTAAAAAACGACGGCGATAAATATTGATTGTATATTTGCGAGTAGCAGGATATAGAAAATTTCTAATTAATGGCAAGGAAATTTCTCCGACATTAAATCCCGGCTATCAGTTCACTTTTAAGTCTTTTGTTATTACGGACTTTTAATTCGTTTTGATCGAGTACATCGCTTGTACGTTGAATTTTAGACAGACAGAGAGAGGGAAAGAGAGAGAGAGAGAGAGAGAAGATTTAAAAGTCTGATCTTTAAAGTCAATAAAATTGTCGTTACCGAGATTGTTTTCAAGGTTGCAATCTGTACACGGCCGATAAGTTGTATGCGAGATTAATTAGAGCGCACTACGCGAATATGTACGAACCGAAACAATTTCGTATTGCGCAGTTGTAAAACGACCTGTTAATTTTCGATTATCCTCATTCCTCTCATTACAACGCGCATGACGATATGTTTCAACGAAGCCCTGTAACCGTAATAAAAGATCTTTAATTACACCGGACATTCGAAATCCATTAAAGAGTGACAAGAGTCTAAAATAACTGTGTACGTAAAATGAAAATATAATTCATTATAAAATAATTTTAATTAACATTCGCGCTTTCGCGAGCGAATTGTTGTACCCCGGTAATGCTTTAACAATGAGAGTTCTTAGCGCAAATAATACATAAACATTACCTATTGATACGAATCCACCTGCGCTCGACAATCGGCATTTACCGTATATAAACGGAGAGACGCGATTCGAACAATTCCAGTTTGTTTCCGCGAGTAAGAGAGGGAGACGAAAAAAAGAGTCCCCGAAGATTGTGTCAGTTGATTTTAATACCTAAATGGCTAATCTAAATGTCGCCGTTTCATCCATAGCCGACGCAATTAAAACTGTAGGCGATTAAGAGCGAATTATAAGGCGGAATGGTTGTTGTGTAGAGCGTCGTGTAGCAGACGAAAGAAAATTCCGGAGGTAGGAAAATCCTACGCGAGGAAACGCGACGAAGGAAATAACGGTAAAAGATCTGGCAGGGAGGATCTAAGGAGAGGAGAGGCAAGCTTGACCTATTTATCTTATAACACGAATAATAGGATCAGGAAGTATTATAAGCAGAAGCGACAATCACCATGGGCCGCCTGATATTCCACCGCCGACGGTAAAGCGCGGATTGATACGAGAGAGAAAGAGAGAGAGAGAGAGAGAGAGAGGGTGAGGGGGAGAGAGGCGGAGAGAGAGGGAGGGGAGAGAGAGAGAGAGAGAACTCTCAACGCTGTGTTAAAAATTGCAACACAGTTCCAGAATATGCATAAGCCCGCAAAATCGTTTATCTCGGAAAACTAACGCGCGTAATTACCGCGTCGCGACGTATACGAATTTAATTGCTCGGCGGAAAAAAATTTTCTTGAAAAACTGCGTGTTCTTCTCCGCGGTTGAATTAGAATCCAAAATCTCCTAATGCAAAACAATGGTTTCCAGGCAATCTGCGCAGATATCTCGTAACGGACGGATTTGAGTATACGCGTGTTGTTATATCGAAGGTCGCTCGATCTTCAGCACGTATTAAAATACTTGGGCGTCAGTAGCCGAGCCACTCCAAGAGCCATAACAAGCATAGACGCGAGTTAGCACGTAAAATCACGTCGTTCACTGTTCCCGATTTTATTAAATTACTCCAAGTTAACGTAACCGTAATTTGCGATATTCGCGTCGCGATCAACACGCCGGGATTATTGTAAACATAAGAAGAGGTCTATCGTAAAGTTCACTAGGTGAATACATTTGATTCTCATTAAATATTATAGCAGAGCACAATCTTTGTATGCTTCTAATTAAATAACCGGTTTGTTCTTGCACTAAACAGGAAAACTGTTTCGTGTTTCAGACCTGACAGTTTGTGAGCAAGAGGAAGATCAGTTCTGCGGATGTAATTGCGGAAGATGCAACTGCAACACCGGAGGATTCAGTTCGGGCCGAGCAGAGTCGACTCGAAGATACGTTTACATTCTTTCATTTAATTCTTCGCGATCGTGAATTGAAATATAGAGTGTTGTCAGAATGAGAAATCATGTCAAATCGCCACGGTAAAGGATTAATAATTCACTCGTACTTACACGACCTTGTTCGTAAAAAATTGAATTTTTAACTCTAATTAACAAAATTCTACTGTTTTGCTCCAGATTTGTTGCAGAATGCGGCCCACTCTGAGTTCGAGAACTTTTGGTGAGTCATAAAAACTGACATACAAAAACTGAAAGATGAAAAGCTTAAAGTTTTGACATGATGAATATTTATAAGATTCGTTAGAATCAATGTGACTTACTGTCCGCAGATCTTTGCACGTTGGCTTTTGCATGATTATGTGCTCATGCCGTTGAACAAAATATATATATTGCTCAAACAATTATTTATTGTGATCTTTTGACCAGAAATTTATTACATCTTTTGATTGTATTGGGCAATATATATTTTATGTGATGCGCTTTCGTGCGCATCCACGCATTTTTTACATACTTACGTGCGCGACTTTTTGCACGCATCTGCATGTATAACTCTCGATTATTTCGTTCGTATTTTGGATTTCGCGGTCGGTCTTTTCAGCTTGCGATCTTTTTTCATACGAGTTTTTACCCACTAATCGCGATGAGATTTATTGTATTACAGGAGTGCTCGTGAAGTAGT